TTTGAAGTGGTCCTGGGAGGCAGTGAGCACAGTGTTTGTTTATTCTGCCATCTTGACTAGAACCACACAGAAGAAACATTTCCCCAGTATTATCTCCAGTAGAAAAGTTCTGAAAGAGCTCTCTGAACACTCCTGGGCCATATGACCCATCTGGGTGCCGGAGGACCAATGAATGGAATCAGTGATCTCAGATGGATAAAAAATAGATGTCTATCCACTACAACTGCCATCTCCATGTGCACTAAGCATTATGTGTGCCACGACAGGCTCCGATGGATTGGCATGCAATATTAATCAAGACCTTGAGCTTTTCAGTTAGCCCAGGTTCAAATCCCAGTGTTTTATTTATATTTTGCGGATTTTGGATTAGTAGTTAACCTCTATAAATGCCAGAATCCTCATTTGTTAAATGGTGATAATTGTTCTTACTTCACAGGGTTTTTGAGAGAATTAAATGAAATATTACTGTAAAGCACTTATCACAGTTCCTGGTGTAATGCATCTGATGTGCTCATAACAAGTGCTCAAGAACAATTAGGGATGATGATGTTGATTCATTATGGAGTATCTTCATTGGACAAATTTTTATTCCAAATCAGCAAAAAGCAGTTGACTCCTTTGTCCAGAATGGACAGATGAGTGCAGCTGATTTTATTTAATGGACATTACATTGCCCCTTATCCTTATACATAAAGACCCACTTGGGACTGTTTTTCTCAGCAAGTGGATGTAAGGAGACAGGCTAACTGAACTTTATAGATCCCTGTCATGGGCATTAATCATACTGCGCCTGCCCATTGTGTTCTCAGTAGCTTTTTAATATTTGGAGGGCATTTCTACAGTTGAATTATCCCCCACAAAGTGTTGAATTCCTAGCCTTTCTTGCATCAGAGATGCAGCCATGTGACACAGACATTCCCAAACATATATACTTGCATATGAGACTTTGATTCAAGAGGTCAGCATGAGGAATGGGGGTCTGTGATGAAGTTTAGTTCCATAGGTGGCAACAGAGCTGTCTGGCTTTTGGTGCAGGAGTGTCGCAGGCTGAGCTTTCCAGGTCAGAAATGCATCCGATGTGCTCATAGCAGTCACAATTGCAGCAAGTTGGAATACTTGCATTTAGTGCTTAGTCTTGGTGGCAGCAATGGCAACAGATTTCTCACTGGGCCATTTCTAAAGTGAAAGTTTGGCCATTGTTCTAGAAAACAGTTTCTTTAATTCTCTTAATGGTAATGTGAACTACCTTCTATTTTTAAATGTGTCTCTTTTACTGCTTGAACTAGCCTGAGTGGACTCAGTTGTTTGTCTAAGAAGCTGGACCAGTACAATTCCTTTCCAACATTTAATTCTTGGGAGAAAGTGGGGGAGGAGTACTTCCTAATGTATGTTCACAGACATAAAAAAAAAAAATCAAACTGTTAATTCAAAAAATTCTTCTTCACAAGAATATCTACTCATGGATTTATGCACCAGAATTCAAAGATTATGGGGAGTTCCTAAATGTTGATAGTATCTAAAAAGTTGCATTCAGTTCCTCAAAAAATTAAAAATGGATCTGTCTTATGACCCAGCAAATCCACTTCTGGGGATTTATCTGAAGAAACCCAAAACACTAATTCGAAAGAATACTAGTATATGCACTCCTATGTTCATTGCCGTGTTATTTACAATCACCAAGATATGAAAGCAACCCAAGTGCCCATCAATAGAATAGCGAAAAAAAAAAAAAAAAGGTGCAGTACATATACACAATGGAATATTACTCAGCCAAAAAAAGAATGAAATCTTACCATTTACAACAGCACATGGATAGACTTAGAGGGTATTAAACTAAGTGAAATCAGTCAGAAAAAGACAAATACCATATGATTTCACTGATGTGTGGAATCCAAAGAACAAAATAAATGAACAAACAAAATTAGAACAGACATAGACACAGAATACCACTATCCTTGCCTCTGGTGGTTGCCAGAGGAAAGGGGAATTAGAGGACTGGGTCATATATACTTTGGATCACAAGGATCATTCCACCTACCGCTCTACTTTTCTTTGGAGAATCCACCCACAGAGTTTTTGTCCTCTCTACCTCACCCTTTTCCTACTGCCTGAAGTTCTGTGGCTCCCTGCCCATATCAATTCTACTTGTCTAAAATCCAAAAATTGGTCTCACAGAAGTGGACTTTAAACACACTTTCAGAGTCCACTTGGGTGTATCTCAATTTTAACACATTAAGCTTCTCAGCACATTTAAGGTTTATAATTTTGTTCAGAACTGTAGTTCCAAGTCAAATGTGTGTTTGTAAGACCAAATAATATGGGTTTTAGTAAACTTTTAATATCACATGGTGACATTAATGTCTTTCTAATGTGTCTCAACAACAGGACCATCAGTGTTGGAACCCTAACTCTTTAGTGAGGATATGAACACAGTTGTGGCTTAGTTGGTTGGAGTGTTGTCCTGTACACCAAAAGGTGGCAGCAGGCTGTATTCCCCATCAGGGCACATACCTAGGTTGTGGGTCCGATCCCTGGTCAGGGCAGGTGCAGGAGACAGCCAATCAATGTTTCTTTCTCTTTCTCTAAAGTAAAAATTTTAAAATCTTTTAACAAGAAAGAAATACTGTTGCATATTTATGCTCAAGTGGTTTTCTATCCATTTAGGCATGTTTAATATTTTGTCTTTTAATTTTAAATTTTGAAAACTTAGCTTACTCCTAAGAATGAAGTATTTTCTGACTATGATCATTTCAAATCATTACCAGAAAGTAAATTGAGCAATATTTTCATTTTATAATTTAAAATATGACTTTTAAATAAAATATCTAAAACATTAATACTATTGGATAACATATTCTTGAAATGAGTGCAAAATAAACAATCATTTATTTTGCTCTTTGCTGTTTCAAAGCAATTTTTATTGGGTTGAGGAAGTATATTTCAGGATATAAAGTAGTCTGCCAAATTCTATAATCCCCCCTTTTTTAAATGTCATACAGGGTGTGGTGCCTTTAGAAAAAAAATTAAAAGTTGCAGTTCTTGCTGTTCTTTTCCTTCTCTATTTCAAAAATAGTAAAATAATGTAAACTCCACAGGGAAATTCTGGTTCCTTCTATTAGTTCCTGGGTTCCTCCACTGTTAAAAGTCATCATTCCTGCAGCTAGTTTTTACTTATTCCTTGCCAGGAGTGTTTATGTTCTTAATATTGTAACTCGTTATTAAAAATGGAGTCTTGATAAGTATTAACTTGCTGCTTTTTTTTTTTTTTTTTTTTTTTTTTTGCTTAGAAAGGTGAACAACCCAAATGAAGCATCTAAATTCAGCCATATCCCTCTTGTGTTGGCATCGGTGTTGAAAATCTCAATAAACCCATTCTCTTCTTGTTTTTCGTCCCTAGTTATCAGGAAGCACTTATCATGCCAGTAAAACAGAGAAGAGTTAAAATCTGATAGAATCCCTCTTCTATTTTTCCCTTTTCTTGCCTTAGATGTGGGCTGGTTGAAGGAGACAGAAATAAAGAAAGAACCCCAGGTTTTCCAGCAGGCACTAATACTTTTTTTTAAAAGCAGCTAGGGAAAAACATCACCCCACCCTGTGATCTGTGGATCACTGAGCCAGGTCCCGCTTGGGCACCAATGGGAGGCGGTGGGCGAAGGAAGGGTTTTCTTTTCATCTCCCCACAGGCCTGCAGGCGGGATGAGACAGGGCTGCGGGTCCCAGGTGCGGGGGAGGAGACGCCTGCCCGCCCCACCCGGAGAGGAGGCGGCTGCAGCACGGGAGCCGCCTCCCGCCTCCGAGAACAAACGGGACATTCAGCAGTGGCCAGTGGCTGCCAGCAACTCCTTGGGGAAAGGAATCGTCGAGTCAGTCTGCACCGTAATCGCCTTTAAAAGCGCCCGGACCCCTCCAGCCGCGCATACCTGGGCTGCCCCGCGGCCGCGCGCGTGTGTGTCTCCAGTGAAC